TCAGGAAGGTATTTTTTTTTAAAAAATTGTTTTTAATGAAGGAAAAGGACCCAACAATGCCACCTGGTACCCTAAAGTCCATGCTTAATAACTTAATGTCAAGAAACCAATATTAACATCCTCATGGCTAAAGAATTGCAAGCCCAAGTATGGCACTTTTTCCCCTTGGAATACTAAGAGTATTTGCCTTGGTCTTTGCTCATCATTATAATGACTTGTTTCCATATGTATCTCCCTGATTAGTCTGAGACTCCAAAGACAGGGATCAAGAATCCAATCCTCTTTGAAATCTTTCAAAGATTTCTTGTCCCCTACAGCAGTGGGGGCACCTGCTTAAAATAGAGATTCTTAGATTCACTTACAGGTAATATATAAAAATCAGAACCAATGGACATAAGACACTGGGGGGTAGGGGAGGCTGGGGGATTTTCAAGGGGGTAAAAAAAAAAGGAGACATATGTAATACTCTTTGTAATACTTTAAGCAATAAAAAAAAATTAAAAAAACAACACTACAATAAATAAAACAAAAAGCCCTAGAGAGGGCTACCTGCTCGGGCTAATCTCAGGAAAGGAAAATTCTTCAATCTGATCAATTGGTAGTGGCTGCCACAGCTGATCAGTTCTGTTGTCATAGCACAGGTGGTGGTGGAGTATCTCATTCTTGCAATGTGCTTGCCAATATTTGACTGACAAAAACATCATGTTCCCTTGCTCTTGGCTAGAATCATATCCCCTCATTATGCTAACACTATCTCATGTTGATCGAAACGTCTTATTGACTTGACTATTTATTGATACCATGAGAAAGATGCCTTAGACTTAGGGTGGCCTTAAAATTTATTGCAACTGGTATATTTTTGAGGGTAAAGGGAGGTGCTATTAATACTTACACCAAGACAACAGGTATAAATCAAGAAGTATGATCCTCTCTGGGTGAAGTTGGGGAGGAGGCTATGCAAAATCACTACAGAATTAGCAAAAAGGTTGTAAAAAAGTTTTTATCCAGTTTTGTCTTAGGCTTGCCCACTTTGCTCTTAAAATCTCTTAGGAGATATTCAATAAACACTGAGTTAAGTACTTATTACATCTTAATTGCTGGGGATCCTGGGGTTATATCAGAGAACTAGAGAAGCAGGGGAAGATAGTACACAAACAGTACCACAGTTCGTTATTTAATTTTAGTAACTGTTATGAAGGATATATACAAGGGCTTCAGAGCATATAAAAGGGGACCTGATCTACTCTGCACATTGTGGAAGGCTTTGCAAGTGGGTGTATTTAAGCTGAAATTAAAAGGGTGAGGAGTTAGCAACAATATTATCATTCATATGTGTATAAGCTCCAAAAACTCAAGGTGAATAGGTGTCACACTTCTATCTATATCAGATTAAATTCCAGCTCTGGACTCCACTTGTCTAGGTTGGTTAGAAATTGGATATCAGTCCTGAGGGGTAAGGGTTTCGTTTTTCACTAGGACCATATATGATCATCTGGCTCCAGAAATGCTATCGGGACTTATGCCCTTATGGTACCCCTAAGCCTCTGGTCTGGGGACTTGGCTGGTACAGGAGGAAGACAACTCCAGTCATTCTACAAAGCCCAGCGGAAGGAGCCTTTCACATAGGTGGGACAGTTTTACAGAACCCACACAACCGCTTCCCTCAGAGGTTTTATACATGCCCCTGCTCTGTTTCTGTTGTTTTTAATATGATTACTTAGGCTTATAAATATTTCCAAAAATATTACCCTGAGCCATTTGGAGTATTATAAGGGAACTCATATCAATTCAGAAATCAAGTGCTGTATGATTCCACCTATATTCGATACCTAGAGTAGTCAAATTCATAGAGATAGAAAGTAGAAGGGGCTAGGGGAGGGGGGAATGTAAAGTTAGTGTTAATATGTACATAATTTCAGTTTGGGAAGATAAAAAGTTTGGGAAATTCATGGTAGTGACTTTGGTGATGGTTACACAACAATGTGAATTGATGCCACTGAACTGTACACTTAAAATTAGTTAAAGTGGTAAATGTATATTATGTATACTTTAGCATAATATTAATTAGAGATCTTAATTTTTAAAAATCAGGATTTTTTTCCACTATTAGAAATGATATGAAATGCCAACATTTCCTTATTTTCCCACTTTTATCATGAATTTAAAAATTTCCCATGTAGATCTAGTCAGTATGGCTCAGTTAGCTAAAGTGTCATCCAGTGCACCAGAAGGTCTGGGGTTTGATTCCAGTCAGGACACATACCTAAGCTACAGGTTTAATCCCCAGTTGGGACACATATGGGAGGCAAGCAAAGGTCTCTCTCTCTCCTTCTCCCTCTCTCTCTCCCTCCCTCTTTAAAATCAATTTTTTAAAAAAATTTCCCATGTATAGAAGTTACCCATTTAGTTCTTTACCATACAATCATAGATTTTCTGAAATTTGTACCAATCTTTTCAGAGTTACAACCACGAAAACACAAATGAATACAAAATAATAAATTAAAAAAGAGGTATATATCCTCTTATAAATCTATGAGACAAGATTCATGTAATCTGCCTTCTTACTTTGTTTCTCTCTACGTGATGGAGTAAATTCAGATCTGTGGACTCTGATATGCCACCATGCATGATCAGGATTTCATCATCAATGACTGTACCGAGTGGTAGCCAGGCAAAAACTTCTTCCAAGACTTGTAGGATTTTTTTCCCGTATATCTGTAAGTAAGAGCTTGAATAAGACTCATTTCTCTGATGGGTTCAAGTTTATTGAATAGTCTCAATGGATGGACAAAAAGCAAAACAGTTTTCATGCTACCTAAAGGAAGTCAGCACAGAGTCACTAACCCACTAGCATCCATTAACCATGTCTTTTTATTCTGTATTTTTGAGACTGTCCCTTCCAGGGTGAGCTAATTCTCAGAGATAGTAAATGACTTGCCTATCATATGCAAGCCAACCAATCAAAAGCCCACACCCCCAACCCCCTCCTTTATGGGGCTGAAATTACTCAAACTAGCCAGTCCTAAATTTGTTTGCACTGCTTTCCCCATTCCTTCCCAGGGAAAATACAATAAACACACTCTCCCTCTCATTCCCTCTGCCTTCTGCCTAACCTTGGTGCTTCCCCATGTGGACCCCAGTGTGATGTGATGTGCCTCCTGTTTCCTGATAACTTATTAAAAGCCTTTTTCCTTTAGTACAGCTATGTTCTTGTTTGCATGTTTTACCACACCTGAGTAAAACAAATTCCAGGTACCTTTAAAAAAATGGGATATGTTTGTATCTATGCTGAAACGTACAAAAGTCACATTGGAAAAGCTTGCTTTAATCCACGAAGAAAATTAAGCCTCTGCCATGGCTAGGGCTTCCTTCTGTGCTTTTATTCATATAGATTCTGACTAGTTCACCCATCACCCTTCCTGAAGGCTCTTTTTTTTTTACTTCTATGTATAAACATCAAAGAGAATTTTTTTAAAAGTATGAGTCTTACCTTATATTTGCTCAAGACTTCTTTTGTGAAGCCATACCTGGAAAAAAAGGGGGGGGGGAGGATTAAAACTATTTAATTAAATGTTGATAACTCCTACTTATGTGAGCCATGCAAAAAAGGGAAGGCCTTGACATCTCACTATCACAAATGTCAGCAACTTAAGAAACTAGTCTTTAGTTGGAACTGATTATTATTTACCCAAGTGTTTGCTAGGCATGATGGGAAAGAACAAAAGCAGCCAAAACTTTTATCCCTATACTCAAAGAGCTTGTAGTATAGTTGGGGAAAGAAGATACATTTTTGTGAAACAATCACAAGCAACTTTCAAAATATGTGGTAAGCATAGTTTGTGTTAATGCTTCAAGTACTCAGAGAAGAGTGCCGTGGCAGCTGGGGAAAGCTGTGTGGGAGAATGCTTTTAGTTACACAGAATTTCTCAGACCACCTATATCTTACAGTAAATGGATGATATGGAGAGAAAAAGAGACTGAAGAAAGACTAAGAAAAACCTAGAAGATAAACAAGTTGGCTCTTTATAGTCTCTCGGATATACTTCATGTTATGTATTAAAGGTTTTAATAGAAAGTGTCAGGAATTTTAGAGCCTGAATTAACAGTCACTAAGGGAGATGTAATGATTGGAATTTTCTTCAATTACTTTTCCTTGCCCTAGCATAATAGTATACATACACTCTTAGTACCCAACACAGTGAAGTTGGATCACAACATACTCCAGGTTTCTATGCAAATAATATCATGTCAGTCTTCTATAGTATAACATGATGTTTTCTGAGATTATTTCAGTCCTGTACTCACCAAAGGTTTCCATGTTCTTAAACCTAATGAACACTTTGCAGTCCTCATCTTCCTTGCTCTTTCTGAAACACTAAATACAGTTGACTACATAGTCCTGGAAAACGTTTTTTCTCTTGGATTGTGTGAAAGTAAACTCTCCCGGTTTTCCTCCTTCCTTTCTAGCTATTGTGAATCTCCTTTGCAAGTTCTTCTCTATCTTGCCTTAAACATTGGGAGTTCCTTCAGATTCTGTCCCTTCACTTTCTCCCTTGGCAATGTCATTCTTGTCCAAGGTTTCAGTTACTATTTACATGCCAATACTACAGGATAATATTCCAGCCCACACTTCATTTCTGAGCTCTGGACATGTATACTCAACTTCCTACTCAAAGCATCTCAGATTAGCTTTCCCCAAACTGAACTCATCATTCTCTCTCATCCCAACTTTCTCCTCTTTTCATGTTCCCAATATCGGTAAATGATATGCACCCCCAAACTCAAGGCAAGAACTTAGAATCCATCCTTGATTATCTCCTCTTTCAAGTCCCTCATTCCACCAAGCATTAAATCATCATTCCCAAAACTCCTCTTGATTTTATCTACTCCTTTGCATCTCCATCCCCACCACCCTAGTGTAAGTGAGAATCCATCATGTACTCTTCAACTACTTCTTAATTGTCCTCTTCATATATACAGGTACTCTTGTCCGTCTCCAAATTTACTCTTCCTGCTATATTTAAAACACACATTTATGATAATCTCCAATGAATTTCTGTTGTCCTTAGAAGAAAAATCCAAATTCCTTTGCATGATCCAACCATTTATGTCTCCAACTCTATCAGACACCATCCTGTCCATCAGTCTATGCTCCTGCCCCCCTAAATTTCTTTCAAGTCTAAAAAGTCTTGTCTTAAGTTCTGTATAAGTTGTCCCCTCACTGTGAAACACCATGGCATTTTCTTGATTTCCTAACTCATTCTTCAGGGCTCAGACTAACACCATACTTCTGTGAGAGAACCTCTGTCACTTCTCAGCCAGATTGGATTCCCCACTTTACAAACTCACCACACTTGAAAAACCTGCTCAATATGTGTCTTGCCTGCTAGATGTAAAGTCTATGAGGGTAGGGACCATGTCTCTTTCATTAAACATTACAGCATTAGATAAATATGATTGGCTAAATTAATAAATGAAAGGATAAATGGCATGCCCAAATAAAAGTATTGAACTATATTACATATTAATGGGCCTCTGATTTTTTTCTTGTCTTGGAATTTTTTTTTCATAGTCTCAGCATTTGCTTCCATACCTAAGAATTAGAATTTAAACTCTGTACTCTGGTCAGGTGCCAAAACTGCCCAAAAGACAAAACTAATAAGTTGCTGAGCATTGATCAAGGCACCCAAAAGCCCAGGACCAAAAACATAAAACATGCCATGTCTTCTACTGCCCTAGGGCAAACTGGTTCCTGTTTTTCATAAAACAAGAAACAAAAAAAGAAAAAGAAAAGGAGGAGGAAGAGGAGAGGAAGTAGAAGAAGGGGGAGGGAGGGGGAAGAAGAAGAAAGAAGGAAAAGGGAACATCTACCACCCATTGGGCCTTTTAGCAAAAACTGGTAAACCATTTAACCAATCTGTATTCTTCAAATTTCCAGTGAGTCAGATAGTTGAAATGGTATGTTACAGCTGTTCTCAAATATGTTTATGAACAACTGTGCCAAAAGCAATTATCATGTCATAAAAAATATCAGTGAAAAATACAGTCCTAGTTTCTGAAACAACACATGACACAAGCCAAAAGGGTAGCAACAGAATGATTGCATCTAAGACTGCTCAAGGACACCTCCAAACCTGGCCTAACACATCTACCCTGCACATGATATGGACTGTGAAGGGTGGGCCTGGGAGAATAAGAACATAACAGAAGGGAGAAGGAAGAACAGAGGTAGAAAAAAAGACTGAAAGAGGACTTCAGAATAATGCATACTCACTCAGTAGAAGACCGGGGCTTGTAAACAGGGATAAGAATTGAAATTCCCCTCATCCCTGCTTCTCTACACCCACCTCTAACTCTTTGCTAGGAACTAAATATGATGGAATTTTATAAAATGGGAAACAAAAGAGGAAATATAAAGGCCTAGGTTACCTCATATTCATCAAAAAATCTTCATGGTTTCCTCTGTTCAAGCACAGGTCATCGCCATAGAGAAGAAAACTCACAAACAGGATCATTAAGATCTCAATGGAACATTTTCCTCGATCTACAAAATCACCGTTAAAAACATATGGATTATACGCTGAGGGGAGGCCATTCTGTGGAAGGAAGAGAGGGGAAAAACAAGCAATTACAAAAATATACTTTTAAAATAAGGCTTTGTACTTAATGTCCCTGTGAACATGGAGAAAAGAAGCTGAGTCGGTTTTTTCATTTGGGAAAATTTTCTCAGTTGCTTGAGTCAGTTTCACTCTTCTAGGGCAGGCATCTCCTGCACAGGACCTTGAAAGTGAAGAATTATCTTGGGGCAGGAAGATATCAGGGGATGGGGATTGCTTATTCTACCCACCATCTACTATGAGTTTTCTCTAAAAGGAGTTGATATTTGTCCTATAAATAATGGTGACTCTCTTCCTTTTCCCTGTAAAAGAGGGAAACTTCTAAGGGGCCCTGTGTTTAACTTCTCTGGGCTTTATGTGATTGGCTCAAATTGCAAAAGGAGAATGACACTATATCCCCCACCCCCCACCCCCAGATCAAATGACAACGGATATGAAAGTGCCCAGGAATGTGTAAGGCACCGATAATGTGTAGGTAAGGCTAATACACCAGTACACTCTGATACAATCACACTAAGTATTGATAGCCAGTGTGTGTTCTCACTGCTCACTGACCAGACCATATTAACTGTTAAATATTTTGATTATCACTCCTGGGTATGAGATAATACCTTTAAACACAGTGTTAGCATGAAAAATAACTGGGATCAGGAAAATATACTCGAAAACAAGTATTCACAAAGATATATGCACCCCTATGTTCATTGCAGCATTATTCATGGTGGCCAAGACATGGAAACAACCAAAGTGCCCTGTGATAGAGGACTGGATAAAGAAGATGTGGTACATATACACAATGGAATACTACTCATGGATGGACTTTGAGAATATTATGCTAAGTGAAATAAGTCAGTCAGAAAAAGCTAAGAACCATATGATTTCACTCATATGTGGGACATAAAACTGAAATTCATGAGCACAAACAGCAGTGTGGTGGTTGCTGGAGGAAAGGTGATGGGGGGTGAAGAGGGTCCTAATATATGGTAACAGTAGTTTTGATTTCGGGTGATGGGCACACAGTACAATATACAGATCTTGTAACATAGAAACCCACCATATTAACCAATGTCACCCTAATAAATTTAATTTTTTAAAAAAGTTAATTCTTGACATTAAAATTTAAAATACCAATCAGAGCTAAGTAAAAGAAAGAATGGTTGGAAAATACATTATTGACCATAAAGAGCAAGCAGACAAAATATCTTTCACACAGAACAAAAAGGACCATTGGCTCCTAACTGCTTGCCTGCCTGCCTGCCTGATCGTCCCTGACCACTCTGCCTGCCTGCCTGCCTGCCTGATCACCCCTAACTGCCTAACTGCTCACCTGCCTGCCTGATCATCCCTAACTGCCTCTGCCTCAGCCCCTGCTGCAGCAGCTTCATCCAGAAGGATGTCCAAAATGACGTCCAGAAGGTCATTTGGCTATCCGGTCTAATTAGCATTTTAGGCTTTTAAATATATTTTATTGATTTTTTACAGAGAGGAAGGGAGAGGGATAGAAAGTTAGAAACATTGATGGGAGAGAAACATCGATCAGCTGCCTCTTGCACACCTCCTACTGGGGATGTGCCCGCAACCAAGGTACATGCCCTTGGCCAGAATTGAACCTGGGACCTTTCAGTCCACAGGCTGACGCTCTATCCACTGAGCCAAACCAGTTAGGGCTAGCATTTTAGGCTTTTATTATTATAGATATTTGGGTGGTAAACATGTTTTCAACTGTGATGACAAATTTTCTTGTATTAGAACTTACTAATCTCCAGTTAAATCAAACTTTGCTTATAGGTATTTTATCTCTACTGTGAGCAAAGAATAATGAATTTCTTTAATCAAGTCTAATTTTAAGTCAAAAATAATAATGGTCAGCTGGGCCATCTACTTTATACAGCATGCTTGACACCCAATGAGTTTTAACATTTTCAAAAAGTCACACACATTGTCAAAAGGCAGATTTGTGATCATGAAGGCCACTCAATAGAATATATCAGTCTCTACAAGTGATTCTAAAAGGAGTTCTAAATGTGTATACACGTTGAGCCTCTTAAGTCAGCTGCTTCAAAGAAGGCAAGACTCATTTGGATGTATAAGGTCTGCCCTACTGGTTCAGGATTAGACATATTACTTCATATAGTCTGAGTCAAAAATGCTTTAGTTTTAGAATAATACAGGAACTGGAAGATAGATAAGAGGATGAGGAGCTAAGTCTCCTGAGACATAAGTCTCTAGAACATTTAGGCTTCGAATTACTGAGATTTCTGAGTTTCCTTCAAAGAAGCAAAACCTGCTGCAATACCCCATCCTTCACTCAGTTCCAGCAAACCAAACTCTCTAGCTTATTCTGCAGCTGATATACAATAAACCATCTATGACATGGAAATGAATTTGACAAATATAGAAAACTCAGAGTAACCACAATTCAGATGACCTGCAGGGGGGAAAAGAGCAGACTACGATTAATTACTTTGAGTAGAGACAAAAACAAGATATTTCCCTATATTGTCACCTGTTGTCTACTGGAGCATTTTAAAATAGACATCTAGAAGGTATCCCAACTTATGTGGACATTTTTGTGCACATCATATAATAACTTCTGTACCTCAACTCCACAATATTTTAATTTTATATCTTTTGAGAACCCTCTTTTAGAGATCTGTTCTTTTGATTGCAACACACTGCTTTAATCTCAAAAGGAAAGGAATTGACTACTGTGGCAGTGTGAAGCATATCAGGATAGAGAAAAATAGAAAATATTTAATGAACTTCTCAACTGGAAAATCACAGGCATGGGGGTGGAGGATGGTAAGAAGAGAGAAAGAAAACAAACAAACATCAAGATGGCAAGGCTTCCAATGGACAGCGTCGGTATGACACCCACAGGGTTAAGAGTTAATTAGCTTCTCTGTGTCCACGTGCATTCCTTTTTCAGCTTCAGGAGGTCTCCATTCACAGCATGAATTTAACAAAATAATTTGCCAATACTTGATCTAAAATTTCAAGCTTTGCTTCCAGTGAGGAAAAATGTCTTGCAATGTTAGCAAGGCTAACTAAGGCTCTGAAGGAAGTATTTCAAATTGGTCACTCTAATTAAGCAAAAGTGGCTGATTTAAATTAATTCGTTCAGAAAATAAAATCTTAAAATATGACCTAACCAATGCTATGTAAATTGGTTCACTTGATGATATTGGAGCCATAGAAAGTCGAGATGCCTTTGAACACAGGTCTGTCATAGGTAACAGTGTGGTGCCCAGAGGAAAAAAATATTTTCAAACCCAGATAGGATTATGACCTGAAAATGTCTGGCTTAGTGAAAAGGTGCTAAATGATATAATTTTTAAGGACAACCAAATATTGTTTTCGTTTTTTTATTATTGTTAATCCTCACCCGAGGATATTTTTCCATTGATTTTTAGAATGGGAGGGAGGGAGAGAAACATCGATGTGAGAGAGACACATTGATTGGTTGCCTCCCACACACACCCCAATCGAGCCTGCAACCGAGGTATGTGCCCTTGACTGGAATCAAACCCAGGACCTTTCAGTACATGCGCTGACACTCTATCCACTGAGCCAAACCAGCTAGGACAAGGACAACCAAATTTTAAAGAAACCAAAATCTTAAAACAAACAATCAAGAACAATCATTAGTGTGAATCTCATCATTTATTGCAATGCATCACAAAAACTATCTATAATAATAAAAGCATAATATGCTAATTAGACTGAACAACCTTCCGGACAACCACGCTATGACACACTGGCGCCAGGCCAGCCAAGGCAGGTGCGATGCAATTTGTCAGGGGTCCGGGCATTGCCCCATGATCGTCCCACAAAGGCCACCAATCGGTGGGCTGTGGCTGGTGGGCGGGAAGCCTGGGTGCCAGGTGCCAGAGGGGAGCCGGTGCCGGCAGCTGGGGGAAGGAAGGCCTACTCTTGCACAAATTTCATGCATCGGGCCTCTAGTCTATATACATAAAAGGCTAAGTGACCGACCATCCATCTGTCCGTCCGTCCCATGACTGGTACATACGATGCACACTGGCAACTTAAAAATAAACATTGACTCACGCATGCTCAATACATATAAAGCTCTCGCTGGTGCCAAGCATACGCATGCATTTCGATCTGTCATTGTCGATCATGAATTTGGTTGTTTTTTGTTGACATTCTGAAGCTAAAAGAAAGCAGTGTCGTCAACAGAATATATCTGAAGACCAACTATTGGCACAACGTACCTCTAAAGCCGAAAGAAGCCAGCGTCGTTGACAGAATGTATTAAGAGTGTTTTTACTGTTAATGTGGTATATAGGGAGATATTGGAATAAGTTTAATCAATTTATCATTGTTTTTATCAATGTTTTTATATCATGTTTTTGTTTTTATATCATGTTTTTGTTGTTTTTACATCATGTCTTTGTTGCTTTTACATCATGTCATTGTTGTTATATATATTCATAAATTATTTTCCATATACATTTTACTAGTTCTCTTTTATCTCTGACACTTCTATTATAGAGAAAGGGCGAATAGCAATATTAAAATATTTCTTCTAATTAACTTCCTTTCAATGTGCACGAATCTGTGCACTGGGCCACTAGTATACGAATAAAATCTTTTCCAAACCTCCAAAACTTTCCTTCATGATTTAGGCAATTACTAAAATTATTTGTTGTCTTAAATGTCACCTCCTCCAGGAAGTCTCCCATGAGATTAGGTACCACTCCAATGTGCTCCCTTGGAGTCTCATGTTTATCCCAATTATAACTCATCCCACCCTGAACTGTCCTGTTGTTTTATTAACTGACCTTCCTTCTAAACTAAACTGATGTCTTTGGAGCCAAAACCTGTGTTTCAGTCAGACTGTATCACCAACCCTTAGCAGAATACCTCATTCCTAATAGGCGTTTAATACATATACATAAAATGAATGAACTTCATATTCATCTATGTATCATTCCACAGTTTATACAGTAACTTGA